AATTTTGATGTTACGGCACTATTTGGGAATATCTTTGTGAATAGAGAGGACTGGCACAATCTGCAGTAGCAAACATCATATTCAATGAGATGTGAAGAATAATGCAGTTATTACTTGCATTGTGATAAGTTATTCAATGCTTGAGTAACTTTAACTGANTGAAAGTTTTATTTATTACAATTATATCATGATGATATTTTAATCATGTCACAAACAAAAAATTTTCTAACTGTAGGAGTTGCAACAATACACTGTGATAAACCTTTACTTTTTGAACCTTATGACTTAAATTATATTCAGCTATTTCATTTAAAAATCTTTTTTTGAGTGTTAAAAAAATGCCTAGCAGTGGAGAATGTAAAAAAAATAATGTGTCATACAGAATGCAAAAATAATCCATGCTTTTTAATTACTGTTGAGCCCGTATACAGTATTTGTTACTAGATTTATCATAAATCAACGTCATGATAATCTGTGCCATGTCGAATGCAGTTATTCAGCATGTGCATAGTTCATCCCACTCCTGCTAATATCTGATTAATGAACCTTTTCAAATTTGCAAAGATATTGTTACCATTACATCTCCCAAGACCGCTGAACACTGTATTGCAATTAGTTCTCTTACAAAATAAATATTTATTTGTAAGACCTAGATTGCTTAGTGTGTGTCTGATATAGTCTGCAATAATTTATTTTAATTTTAATTGCATTTTAATTTTAAAATCCCCATTCTAAAATAATGTATAAGAATTGGAGCAATTTCATATTACTACGGTTTGCTAGCATTTGTTGAAACATCAACAAGGAGAAAAATCTGCAAGAGATTTTATTGAACTTCCAATGAATAGGATGTTAGCACAGTTTACTAATGCTTCTGTTTTTTTATAGCACTTGATACAGTAGTTGCTGTTTTCAAGTCAGGAAAAATTTGTTTGTGATCCTATTGAACAATGCATGAAACATACTCTCATTGGAAATGTGGATAATAGAATTTACAAAAATGTATTTGGACAATAATTTTTATCTCCAGAATGCAGATGTGTTGGCATAAAAGGACATAAAGTAACTCTTAGATGACATTTTTTTAGATCTTGTAATGTTATGATTGTTAAAAAATATTAAACTATATTCTGTCATTTATTATTTTACACATACATGCACAAAAAATGTACAGATGTGTGTTTAGTAAAAAAATACATATTTGAGAATTATTTAAAAAGTAATGGATAATTAATGATTAATTTATTTTCTAAGTGATATATGTGATGTATAAATATAATTTTAATTTTGTATGTAAATTTAACAATCATTAAGTGGGAAAATAACAGTTCTAATTTAGATATATAAATATAAATGTAAGATTGTTAATTTTGTCTTAATTTTTCTGAGAATTAAAATTTTCACAAGAACTTATAGTAAACTGAAATGTTTTGTCATTTGTATTCAGAACCTCAGAATAAACAATGTAAACTGAAAAAAGTCATTGTATAAAAAGAATTTAACATTTGTTGATTATAATTATTAAAAATGTATTATGAAATTTTTATTGGTTTATTTTAAGATATCAATAAATTGAATGATTTGTTGAGAGTAATTTTTTTAAATGATTACTTTTTGTATTTATATATAAATTTTTGTTCTAGCATTAGGACAGAATTGTACATATATAAAAAAACTGATCTTTATTGTATATTTTTGCTAAGAATTATATAATAATAAACAAAATTTTCCTTTTCAGAAATCTGTTATCAAGGAAAATATTTTAAAAAATTTATTCATATCTGTATTAAATTTCTATAAATTTCAAATTTTTATTAAATAAATATTCAGAGAACGTCATGAGCACTTTTTGCTTTTTATATTTAAAATTTTTGAAATTCTCATTTCTGTATTAATTTTTAAATTAATGATTTTTTAAGGGAAATAATAGCTTAATTGTTATAAATTGGTTTAGATGGGAAGTTGTGCTTTATCGCTGTTTATCTTTTTATATAATTTTGTAATTTTTATGATTATTTTAGTAAGCATAATACTTCAATTATTAATATTTGTATATTTTGCACAACTATTTGTAGATATCATAAGCAGCATTGCATTCATTAAATGAATTTTATTATATTGATTATATTTTATTATATCAATTTCAAAATGATTAAACACAGATTAAACACATTTACATGTTACTTCCAGCATCAATGTTTAAACATTGATGCTGGAAGTAGCAGGGGATGTTCATAGGACTGTCCAAGTAGCAGGGGTTGTCCATGTAAAGGGGCTCTCTATAAATTATGTAAGGTATTTTGGGGTGGGTGGAGATCAAGGATTTCTTATGATTTCTTACTCGGGTAGGGGGTAATATATCTCGTCTTATGTAATATTCTTATTTTTATTTTTTGATCTCGTTGAGTAGTGGAGTTTTGAATTTGGCTTCAATTTGGCTGTTTCTATTAAGAACACTCGTTTTACTAAAGCCATCTCGTGTGTGCTAGCAGACTTATGTTCTACATGTTTTTTCATGGGAGAATGGCTGTGTGGTGGTTTCTCTCTCTCTTTTTTTTTTTATTAGAATAAGTGCACCATTCCTGTGGGTGTATAACACTAAGAATACATAAACCAAAATACATGATACAAAGTAAACATAAAATTAGTATTTGGCTTTTAGTGAAAACTAAAATGTAAAACTATTGATAGATATTAGAAATTATAGTCTTTTCTTCCATGCTTTTTGAACATAATTGTAAAAAGCATCAAACAGTGACTTCTGAACAAGCTTATCAAGTGGACATGGCCACCTGAAACCAAACGTAAAGATTTCTAATTTCAGAATAAGTGTATGTTGATTGTAAATTGGACAATGATAGATCATATGGCAAATGTTAAATCTGTATGTGCATTCAACACTAGGAAAATAAAGTCTTGTTATTCTACCAGTTTTAACTGCTCAACCTTTGTTGATTCCACTTTTGCATAGCCTTGTCATGAATATAATTTTTAAGGCTGCTACATGCGAGAGGGATGTGAGTGTAGTCCAAATCAGTGTTCTTTGCAGCTGACTTAGCCTCAAAGTCAGCTTTTTCATTTCTAAGTATGCCAGTATGTCCAGGAAAATATATAAAAGTTATCTTATTTACAAGATTTTTAATATGGTGCTGGATATATGTGATTTTATTGCTCTTGCAATTGGGATTTAATAGAGCTTTTAGGACAGACTGAGAATCACTGTAAATGTTGATAGAGTTTTTTTTGGTAGTGAAGTGGCCCACTGAACAGCTTGGTAGTCAGCATCATCTTCAGTTTGATAGATAGAGGTATGTGGGAAGTATCTGTATCTTCTAACATATTTTGGGCAAAATATGCCAGTTTGGAAGAAGAAAGACATACTTGAGCCTACATGAAGGAAGCTTTTAGACCCATCTGTGTAGGTATTAATATCTGCATAGTTATCCATAGAGGAAGCAGATGACACCAAATGTACTCTGTATAGCCTACACTAAATGTGATCATCACCTTGTTTACAGGGTGGTGATCACATTTAGTAGGGTAATTGCAATGTGGTAGCATATGAGCAGCCATAGATAGTAGTAGAGACTGTTGTTAAGCCTTGATGTTTGTAGTTCTGATGTAGTAGTTTAGAACCTTTTCTTACAATACATAATGCAAAAGAAGGAGCTCTGCCAGTATCAGAGGCATTAGTAGAAACAGTTCTGCAGCACTTCGAAATTCTGATGGCAAACTGTCTTTGAAGAGAGAGTAATTTACTTACTGCTGAATTTTTACTAGTTACATGACCCCAGCTAGAGGCTGCATAAAGTAGCATTGGTTGTATTGCCCCATTATATAGAGTTTTACAAGCTTTATGATTTATTCTCCAGATGCACCTAGCACATTTTAGCAGCATGTAGTTTATTTTATTGACCTTTATCCAAGATGTAATTACAGTAATATGACAACAGAATGTGGTTTCTATTCTCTCTTGTTTTATTTTGTATGACGTTTCTGTTTACATGTGCACTAGCTTGTCAATCTGTCAAAGTTTTTTGTCCCCTTTTGTGAAAATTAAAATTAGTATAAAAATGAATATTAGGACATTGACTGATGATGATGATGATAAAAATAAAATTGTTAATAATGAAAAAATAAAGTTCTTAAAATAAATTTGTTCTTTTATAAATAATAGTACATATTAATTAACTAATTAATAATTATATATTTTGAACCTAAGGTTTTTAGTGTTTCAATAAAAAATTCTTTTGTTAAAATTTTTCTATAAAATCATGCCTAAATATTATGTAAGATAGGTAAGGGGAGGGTGGGATCAAAGAAAATATGGTTTCTTACACGGATGGGTGGGGTCTAGAATGGCCAAAATTGCCCTTATGTAATTTATGGATGGCCCCAAAAGCATCTGTATGTGTTTTGTTGAACTGTTCCAGCTTTTAGGAATTATCTTTGAAAGTGATTATTTAGATTTTATGGTATAGACATAGGAAAGTTTTTTAAATTTGTAATTTTATNTTTTTGGTGGAATCTGTAAAAACTATTGACTCCAGTGACTTTTAAATTTTTTTATGAATGTAATGTAATATATTTACAAAGAATAACTTTAAGTAAATAGAAATTTTAATCTACTATTTATTATTTTGAATATTTATATCCTGATAACAGACTTCAGAACTAGTTACCTGATTCAATTACAAAAGATTTTTCTTATTGTTATTAGTATTGTAAATTTTTCTTTTGTGGATAATGCAATCTGATAGAATAATACATTACTTAAATAAAACTTGTAACATTTTTTTTAATTAATTTCTGAAAATGAATGTGTGTTTTGTTGATTTTGAAAATGAAATTCAAATTTAGCATCTGAACTTAGAGTTCAACCCCATTTAAAGACATCTCTTATGCTAATGTAAAAAGAAATAGATGAGCTAACAATTCTGTCTCAATGCTACAACACAATATTTATTAGAATTAATTTTTTTATCATTCAAAATTTTTAGATATGGCATATTTAAAAATATTCTGAAAACAATGGATGAAATGGAGGGTGGTATAGAAAAATTTGGGGATAGTTACAATACATGTGGACTTCATGTAACTAAAGAAAATGGAATAAGAGGAATAGAATGGGCTCCAGGAGCTAAAGGGGTATTTCTCAGAGGAGACTTTAGTAAGTTTTTTTATTTTTATTTGAGTTGTGATGATTTATTCTTTGTTTAAATAATAATAATAGCTTTTATTTATTTCCTTTTTATTAATATTTGCTAATATTGCTTTTTATACATAAGCAATGAGTGATTTTTACGTTATAAAATTTCAGAATGTAACTATTACAACATATAGTTTACATTCTGCATAATTTATAATTTGCTAGGAAATTTTGATTGCAAAATTAGATGTTAATCAATTCAAAACAATTTATAAAATAGCAACATAACTAGATACAATCATAAATAACAAGAGCATGTTCTACTCTATATTTTTCACTTATTATCTACAAGTATTCTTTTCATTGTGCTGCTTGCAGGAACATATTGACATTATCTCATTGATCACAATGTTACCAACAATAACAATAGTTAAAAGATTTATCTTTGGAAAAATGAAATTAATATTCCTATTGAAATTGCATGTTTTTTTCATGTTTTAATGAGTCTTATTATACACAATTAACCTAAAATGATAGTTTTTTTTTTTTTTTACCTAAAATGATACAGTAATTGACCTGTTGATCACAACTGATTTGTTGGCCATATCTAATTTATATAGATTTTATTTCTTAGAAATACAGTAGTAATATAATAAATTATATGAGTAATACCAATTAAATTGTTGTTGAAAACGAATTTTAATGCAATTTATTTTTTCAGATGATTGGGATCGTACTTCTCACCCATACAAAAATATAGGATATGGTAAATGGGAAATAAATATACCACCAAAAAGTGATGGAAGTTGTCCAATTCCACATGGAAGTGTTATAAAAGTATGTTTTATATTATGTAGATTAAATTTAAATGTGTTTTTAAAATCATTTATATAAACCAACACTACCTTAATAAATATTACTTCTGCTTGGTTTATTTTAATGTCTAGTGCAGCAGTTTCCAATCTTTTTTAACTTGTGTATCCCCTGACAGCCCATTTTTGCTAACTTTTATTTTGTGTATTCATCAAACAGTAGCACCTTAGTCAATTATACAGCACTATACAATTACATATAGAAAAAGATTTTTTTAAATTGAAAAGCATTAATCAAGAAGTGTTAGAGAAAGGACACAGATATAATTATATTTTTATTTACAATTATATTTTAACTAAGCATAGTACTGTGATATTGCCAAAGACCTCAACACAGAATCCAAATATTCTTATAGTACATCCACCATTATTATTATTATTATTATTATTATTTTTTTTTTATTTTTTATTTTTTTTTACGCATACCCTAAACATCCAAGTACATGTCCTGGTTGGAAATCGCTGGTCTAGTGCTACACTGAACCTAGATCAAAGCATAACTATAGGAAAAACTTGTCATTGTGGTATTGTATCCTATTTGGTTTATATATACCTATTACTGTGTTCTATGCCAAGGTAAAGGCATAACTATAGAACATGCTATTATTTTATTTACATGCTGTTTATGTATCTATCTGTGTTTAAGAATTTCTTGACTAACATGGCTACACCAATGAGTAAGGCCGTTAACCTCTTTCTCTAAATAAATGTGTTTAGTATAGTGGCTTTGGATGTAGTGTATGGTATGTGTTGTTGTGAAGTCCTAATGTTTCTTTATGGTATTGCTGTCATGTGTAAAATCTTGCCTCCAAAAACCTTCAAAACAATCATTTTTTGAAATTCAAAACAGCTTCTAAACAACCTAAATAATAGCAGTGACTACCAGTGTTGTGGAGTCAGTTGCCGGAGTCAAATGTTTTTTGGTGGAATCTGTAAAAACTATTGACTCCAGTGACTCTGACTTTGAAGTTTACTATTGGTAAAGTGTGAAGTAAGAAAAATGCTTTTCAATTAGTATCCAAAGAAATTTCTTAGAAAATGGACATTTCAATAAATTTAGATATCAAAATGATATTAATGCATAAAGGCCATTTCATAGCAAAATGTTATGTTTATCTCATGACATGCTGTATACTTTCAGAAAATAGCTTTTATTAATTTAAGGCCCACCAGTTGCTAAATAGATAAAATCACTGAACACTTGTAGTTAGTTGTGGAATCACACACCTGGAAAGTAATTGCTTATGGTATCGCTTTGAAGTACCAAGCTTATGTTTTCCGCAGATAAGCTCCCAAGAAAATATTTGACTTTCATTTTGAATGCCATAATTTTTTCTTGGTGCAATATTTTTTTCATCTCATATGTTTTACTCTGGATATCAATAATTTTTTTTGAATAATTTGACTGATTAATTTTTTTCACTGCCCTTCTATTGGTTTAGAGTTATTTATGGCTATTTATTATAACTTCAATATCATAATTTTGTCTTACAACAGTCAATAGAATAACAGTGAAAAAAAATAAGACTGAGATCAGAATCTAACTGCAACAAACTAAATGAGGAAGAGAAAACTGCAAAATGTAATTAATAGGATTGTTTCAGCTTATTTTACACTGGTTCTTGGAGCACAATTGCACTTGTCAGTTTAAGATGATTGATTTTTTCCAAATTTCATATTTTAAAATTCTACTATATACTTGAGTTTAGTCAACTGTCAGTAGGAAACTAATGTTGTAGCTGAAGTGGGAGAAGCTATTTTATGGACCAGTTTATTACATCATTCATCAAATCATTAATTTTTGCATTCAATGTATTTAATTTTTTTTATTGAAAATAATTAAATTTAAATCAACTTTTCATAATTAAGTAATAAAAGTGGAATTCTTTTGACTATTAAGATGTAGTGTTTCTTTATGTATGTACTTGAAGTTTTTCCAAGGTAAATTCATTATATCCATTTTTTGATTCTTGCCATCAATTTTGGTACAACATTTTATAGAGAAATTTTAGATAAAAATATTTGAGTACCCAGTGGTGTCTTTCTTATAAAAGGAATTGTAGTCTGACATTTGAAAAAACTAAGGCCAGAGATGGAGTCACATTTCAAATTTGCTGGAGTTGGACTTTTGTTTATTGACTAAACCACACTGGTAACTACAACTTCTGTACCATTCAAAATATCAAAAGTTTTATTTAAATAAATAACACAATTTTCTATTAACATTTTAACATTAGAGTAGTCAGTTTTGCATTTACACCTGCAAAATAGCTCTATACCTGCTACTGAGGAAGCTGACTTTCTTGTCTTTTGTTTGGAAGAAACACAATTTTAGCAGGTTTTGTTTCTTAATTACAGTTCTTACTTACCTTTCAAAATAATTCTTTTCTTCCCTAACTTATATCTAAATATCCAAAAGTTTGGAGAAAACATTAAACCTGGCACTCCTGATTATAATCTTTGCACAGTTTTTTTCAACCAATGCACTAAAGTAAAATTATGCCAAAGAGAACAAGCTGTACTCTGTTTTAAAATGCTATTAATTTATGGTAAAAGTTTTTTTATAACATATAGAAAGAATTGCTGTTAGAAACAAACTTTTAAAAATACCTCTGAATACAATACACTTCCAAATTTACCTCTAGACAAGAAAAAAATAATAATCTGGAGATAAAACATATTGGCAACTGTTTCAATGCTTTTGTATAATGCATGCAGTATGACACCTCTGCACAAAAGGGCTACAGGCACAATTTAAGTAGGTTATCTATTTTCCACAAATGCTTTATGGCCAAATTCTGAGTATTTGCTAATTTTTTTTAATGTATCTATTTTGTATGTTGTGGGTGTTTGGTACAGTTATGCCTGTGATGTATATGATTTTGTTTTGTTTGTCAATGAATGTGGCATCTGGTCTGTTGTGATTGATTGTTTTGTCTGTCATTGTGGAACAGTCATACTATATTGTATGTGTTTTGTTTTCTATGATTACATAAGATATGTATTTCTAATATGGTTTGTGGGTTTGTAGTAGTTTGTGTTTGGGTGCAGGCTTTTGATGTACTACATTTGCTATTTGGTTATATCAGTAGCATGTTTGTGCAGAAAGCTTGCAACTTGAAGTGATATGTTGTATAGCTTCATTCATGATGTGGTATATGTACAAGTGTAATTTGTAAGTATAAGTTCTGTCTGTATGCTTTCTATAGTTTTTTGTATATTAATATTTTAATTTACTTATATTTTTGTGAAATCTTGCTCATTATACAGTTAATTTGATTTTTAAATTGATTTTCATATACACTAATATATATTAAATTTATATAGTTGGTTATTTTGACTCAAAATGATGAATATGTAGATAGATTGAGTCCTTGGGCTACATATGTTACTTGTCCAAGAGAGAGTATTGTTTATCATCAAATATTTTGGAATCCTGAAGAGAAAGAAGTAAGTTATAATATCTTCTATTATACATTTTAAAAATTGTAAACTTATTTAGTTAATTAAAAACAATACTATTATTATGTTTGATTCTTTTAAAACATAAATACTTGTGTTTTAGTAAGAGAAATTACTATTATAGTTTTGATTTTAAGTATAAATTCATTAATTTTCAGTTTTTGTGTTTAAAAATACAAAATATGAAAATAGCAAATTATTAATTTCTAATGATCAGTCAGGTTTTTTTATTTTTCACATTATTCAAAATTCATTAACATTTTTCATATTTATATTATTGTAATGCAGATGGGCTTTAATATACTGAAGAACAAGTTAGTTGACTTTTATTATAAGAGAACTGAATTTTTGGAAATGTAACTTAAAATTTTTATTAATATGGATTGTACTTATATTATTTTTCATATTTTGTTAGAACAAAAACATACTATTAGTAAATTAAAGTTAAACTAAATAATCAAAATTAATTATGTTAGACTAAACTGTGAAAATACTAAAAAATTATTAGGTTATTAAAATGTTAATTAAATAATAAATTAACAATTTAAAATAAATTTAATATTAAATACAAAATTATGCTACACCAAACTCTCTATTATCTGTGCTAATTAGTGCATCGATGTGCACAAAACACCCAGAAAACATGGATAATCCAAAATAGCTCTCTAAACCATAAAAAACTATTCAGAGGTTTTAAATGAACTTCATATATAGGTATCCCTCATATAACATGGTACAGTGGTACCTTAACTTAAGAGTGTCCCAACTTAAGAGTTTTTCGAGATACAAGCTGTTTCTTGTCCCTTTTTTGCTTTGAGTTGAGAGCTAAATTTGGGTTACAAGCCACCTTCAGATATCCTGCTGCTAATTGGTGAAGCAAACGCCACAGCAAAAAATAGATTAATTTAAGAAAAAGATGGAAAACTGCCATGATTTTGTCATTTTCATTAATTACTCTTCCAATATCTGACAGGCTAGCTTATAGAAAAACATGTGATTGAGTGACATAGGCATTAGTTCACTTTCATGTTGTATGTGGAACCACCGTCTCTCATTTCTCGAATTTTCCATCTTTTCTTTCTATGCATCTATGCAGCAAACACCACAACATCTGCAAAGCTAATTTATTGCAGTACATTCTATTGTGTTTTTATACAATATTTGTTATGTATAAATACATTTTTCTTATTTAAAAACATGTGACAAAAAAATTGCAATGTTTTGGGGATCCAGAATAGATTAATGGCATTTCAGTTCATTTCAATAGGGAAAATTGATTTGACATATAAGTAATTTGAGTTAAGAGTTCCATCATGGAAGAAATTAAAACTCGTAAGTCAAGGTACCATTGTAGTTACATTCTGAAAATGTGCATGTTATGAGAATCCATGCAATACAGAACAAAACATAGGGTTACATTCCATAAGTTAGCAAAAGTATACCATTGTCTTTTGTTACTAAGAATTTTTTTTTACAAAGTATCATCATCATTTTGGCCAGGAGTGGCCAATAGTTTTTGCCCCTGGGCCGAATTGGAAAGAAAACTTTTCTCATGGGCCGAACCAGAGGCTGCCTTAGGAAGATTTTGAGGTGGTGCGAGATCTCATTGTGGTGTCATCTCATAGAGACTAAATTGTACATAGAGATTACAGATACATTTTTCACATTATCATGCATTATCAACATTCTACACTGTACTTAAGAGATTTGTAATGGAGTGTTAACTCTAAATGCACAGTGAGTTGTTGACTCTTTTTTTTCACTACCTGATGAATGTTCAAACTCGATCAATTATTTATGTATTTTCTGTCATAACTCATCGAATAAAACTGGTTCTTAGCTTGAACAGGTGCTTCTAGCTTGTCCTTAATTTCAAGCAATATATATATTCTATCAATAAATTTCTTAAGTTTCATTTGTAAATTGAGGTTAACATCCATGGTTGTTTTAGGCTATTTTTTAGTGTGTATGAATTTGTGAAAGCCCACCAGTGGCTGAGCAGTTCTGTCGCTGAACACAAACCCTTGAATGAACACTGGGAGTGTTTATTCAAGGGTTTGTGGGCTGGCCATGTTGAGTTTTCTGGGTTTTCTCCTCATCTGTAACACCTGAATAGGGGCCAGTTACCTTTAAGACCTTCTTGAAGACATTTCTCCCCTGCATAACATCGTGTATCCAGAGAAGGCAACATGGAACCACTTTGGTACTAACTTCCCACAAGACATCACTTGGCATGCAAACTAATCCATACTAACCTGTGTTGGGTGTTTGCCGACATCAGAGTGAACTGATATGGCATATGAAGAGAGAAAGAGACATTTGTGAAAAAATTATCACTATAAACATCACACTAATGAGTCAAGGTCTCGCACTCCTACAACAATTTTGCCTACTGGTTTACTGCAAAATAATAATCTAGGACTAATGACTCACCTCACTTCCATCCCTTAGAATTGACAGTTAGGGATGAAAGAAAACATGAATGTTGCTTATGATACTTTGTCCTTTTACAGTAATTTCTAATATTTTGATGATGGCACATGGATAATAGGGAGTTCAGTATATTTTGTATATGTATATTTTAGAAATTTAATGTATTTAATTAATTTGGCTATTTAGTATATATAATTATCATTATGCAATAATAAAATAATTATTAAAGTTTATCATTGTATTTTAAATTATAATTATAAATGTGGAGGTGCCATGCAAAAGCAAACAAATCCACAAAAAGCAAAGTTGAGTATATAATTGATTTTTTTTATTCAGCCTCATTCCTACTGTTATAGTCTGTTTCATTCAAAAAAATATGCATCTAACACTTTTTGAGCTTTGAAAATCGACATTCTGTGCAAAAAAGAACATCTCTTTACATGTTCCAAGCAGAACAAAACATATCCGTTGCAGTCTCGCTCAGCCAATGAAGAGCTTTGATTGAGTCATATGACTTCCAGAACGCAACAGGTGATTTTGTTTTTGTTGTGTCATTTTGTTGTTTGTTGGAACAGAGGTTTTGATGTTAAAATGTTTGTTAGTACACATTTTATTATACAGTGTATTTCAGTGTTATAATTGAGTGAAAATGGATGAAGATGGTTTAAATGTAGAAAGCAATGTTGGATCTAAAAAGAAACCTAAAACTGTTGGAGTATGGGCAAAGAGGAAAATACAAAAATACAGTGCTCCTTTGGGATGAGATTTGAGGAATCAGTTGAGCAACTACCTGTAGGGCATCCTCTGTCAGCTGCCAAGAAAAAAGACATTAAATCACTTTTAAAGACTTTGTATGGCAAGTAATGAGAAAATGAAAGTTTTTCATGGTATAAACAAATGTTACAAAATGGCTTGAAAAACCAAGCTTGAAGCAGATGACCTGGAAAAAGAAGAAAATAATGGGAACCTGTGTGATTGTTTGGGAGAAGATATTTATTGTTCATCCCTATTTTGTAAAATGCCATGTTTTTTTGATAAGTCAAAGTAGTAGCCAATATAACAAAGTGAAAAAGAATATAGTAGCCAGGCAAAAGAAAACATATCCTAACATAGTTCATGCAAAAAAAACATATCCACCCTGTCCAAGCAAAAAGAAACATGTCCATATTTTAATGTCATGTAATTAAATACTAACTATTAATATATTCCTATCAAAAACTGTCTTCAAATATTGATGTTAGATACAAAATGAAAAAAAAAAATAATAAATTTTTACAGGTGTAGTGTGTAAAATAAATTCAATAAGTTTTTTGCATCTTTTCAACAATTGTTTAGAGTGAACTTGTTTGCTTTTGCATGGCACCTCCACAAATATTAATATAATCTTATCATAATGAAATTACACCATAATAGGGCTTCTTAAATTATAGGTTGTGACCCCATATGGTTTAATGTAACAGAATTTTGTGGTCACAAAGAATGTCACTTTAACGTGTACCTCTATCAGATTTCCAAACACTAGTTAGCAAAAATATGAGGGTAGTTTGAAAAATATTTTGGCCTGAGAAAGAAAACAAGAGTTTTAACTAATTTTTTTTTATTCATTCTTCAACATAGTCACTTTTTAACTCAATACACTTAGACCAATGATGATTTAATTTCTTTACACTTTCAGTGTAATATGATTTCTCTAACTCTGCAAAATAATCATTTTTCTGAGCTATGAATGCCATATTTAAAGTGAACTTTTGCCCAGTAAGCCATTTCTTCAGGTTTGAGAAGAGGAAAGTCACTGGAGATCAAATCTCATGGGTATGGTGCATGTGGGAGCAATTCAAAGTAACATTCATAAAGCTTTATGACTGCAAATGAAGGTACATTGTCATGGTGAAAAAGCATTTTTTTTCTTTACTAAATGCAGATATTTGCCCTTAATAGTATCCTTTAAATGCTCCAACAATGCTGAATAATACTCTTAATTGATGGTTTTTTTTTTTTCTCGGATACTCTGAGCACCCCTAAAAACAGTGGCCATCACTTTTTCTAGTGATGAAGCACTTTGTTTTCAGAGTACTTTCACCCTCTTCCATACATTGGACTGTTGTGTCATCTCTGGTGTAAAGTGTGGATTTATGTTTCATTGCAGTGATAAAACATTGCAGAAACTCTGTTGAATTGAATTGCATTTAAACATGTCCAAGCATGTCTGAGAAATGTTCATTCAAATACATTTCTGGTTGACTGTTAACAAATGCAGCACCCATCTGAGCTGAGAGCTTTTTCATTGCAAATGTTTGTGTAAGATGATGTGAACACAATCTATTAAGATCTTTGCAATATCAGCAAGCTTACATATTTTCACTTGTTAATTTAGTACAGCATTGTAGATTTTGTGATGATTTCCTTGGTCTTTGCAGTTTTTGGGTATCCTAAGTGTTCATCATTAAAAATAGAACAACCACCACCTTTAAATTCAGCAGTCCATTTCTTCACTATAGAAAATGATGGTGAAGAGTCTTTCAAAGTGGAATCCAATTCCTTTTTTATATCCATTGGCATAAACCTTTTAAAATGAAATATTTTATCACAGCATGATGATTGATTTTATCTATTTTTCAGAAAATACCAAAACTTGTTAGCTTTGTTTAGTTACAACAAACTAACTACTAAATGCACATACAGTATTTGAAATTTCACAGAATGGATTATACTTGAGAAATAAATAACCTTACCATTTCATACTACCAGCACCATTTCTGTGTCAGACCAAGAACTATTTGAACTACCCTTGTGATTACAAAAACCATATTTAATTAAAATAAAAATAATGTTATGGATATATAACAGAGAAATGAAGCATTTTTACATCTTTTGCTGTGATCTACTGCTACTAAAATCACTCCTATTTAGACTTATTCTATTACCATTTACTTTTTCAAAACTTTGCATTGCACATGGCATTGTGTGAGATAATGCCAGCAAAGTTTTGTGTCTTACAGAAACATAATAGTTAATTACCAAAAAAATAAAAATTTTAACAAAATTTTATTATTGTCATTTCTCAGCATGTACTAAAATTTGTACCTGTACATTCTTGGATTGTATATTGTGACGAGGAATTGTTTTTCCCCAAACTTTTTGGATTCTCAAGAATTGGGTATTCCTGAATCAGTAAAAATTTTTGTTGAATCAAGACTCACTTTTCTAAATTCTTGAGAATCTGGAGATTTAAAAAAAATTTATTTACAAAAGATTTAATTAGAAAAAATAATTCAGAAGAAGCTATACAAAGTAGGACTAGAAGATATAAGATTGTCTCATATTTATTTTGCTTAACTTTTTAAATATATTAAAAATTAATTGTATTTGTATGTATTTTTTAAAAGTTTTTATTAAAATAACTTTTCAATACACACAAACAATCTTTTGATTTATCTGAAAAATCCATGCATCCTTTATTTTGACACAAAAATTCTAGGAATAATGAAGTTCTTTCATTTTGTTTCAATGTTGGCTTTAGGCAAAACAGAGCATTTTTGAGCATTTCCAAGATGTTATTTTACACAAGGCTTCATAAATATTTATTTCCTGAGATAATATACTGAAATCACTCTCAGTTGTTTTGATTGGTGCCAAGCTTTGTAGAATTTTTCCAATTTCTGATGCAAAATTCATTTTAAGATTTTAGCATTGTGGATTGAAAGGGACAGAACAGCATTTAAATTCTCATTATTATACAATCTATTCTTTATGCTTCTTGATATATTTGTTATATACGTTTTCATTTTCATCATTGATGATTATAAAATGAAAATATTGATGAACTCTGAAAAACATCTAATATGTCTTGCATCCTGCAATATTAAATATTCAGCCAAGATTTAACTCTCTGCAAAAATAAACAAGCACATCTGTCTCATTAATATACAAATTTGCTTTTGTCCTAATAAATGATAATAAGTAGTAAAAGTATTAGTATAACAAAGATATATTTGAAATTAAATTTCTTTGATTTTTTTATCAGTTAATATTTTATTTATTTATTTTATTTTTATGTATGTATGTATATATGTGGAATCTTGTAAAATATTCTCAGATAAAAGGAGTGTGTGAATGAAAAAAGTTTAAGAAGCCCTGCTCTATAATAATCATAGAAAATGTTAAATGTACAAAATTTTGTGGAAATGAAGAAAATAAATATACTCTGTAAATTATTTCATATATGTTTGATTAAAAAACAAAGCTTACATTTAGTTTTAATATATTTGTATTTAATTGATATTTTTAGAAGTATTATTTTAAACATACAAGACCAGAAAGACCTAGTGGTTTGAGAATATATGAATGCCATGTAGGAATAGCTTCAGAGGAACAAAAAATAGCAAGTTATGATAATTTCAGGATAAACGTTATCCCTCGAATAGCTAAACAANGTAATTTATATTGTATAATCAAATTAATACTAAACATTAAGTCAGTGACTCCCAAACAATTTTTTTTTTTCATCCAATCTGTTTGACTGGAAGATTTAAACTTTCCTTCTTAATTAATATCGTTATAATGATACGTTCTGAAGTAGAACAGACCAGGCAATATGTAAATAAAATAATGGTGTACAAATTGTGCATATTTATAATTAAGGTAAACGCACCGGTAGTGGACACTTTGAACATCAAATATGAGTAATCAGGTTGTAGATGGCTTCACTGTTCAAACATACAAATCATTCAGTAGACAGAACTTCTGTCTACTGAATGATTTGTATGTTTGAACAGTGAAGCCATCTACAACTTTATTAGAACCGGTGCATTTACCTTAATGTTCTAGAAATAGAACAAAAAATACATCAATATATGGTAGGCCTAAAGTAGATCTGTAAAGCAGCTTAAAAACATGTATCCAATCATTAAATAATTTTGCTGGAAAGTGACAAGGTTGTTTGCATGATATTTTGAATTATTTTCCAGTTTGTAATTCCTTTTTCATACATTGACATAGCAGTGCAATGCCAAAATAAGCCCTTCACCTATAAAATTGTAGTTTTCCACACATTAATCAAATACACACCTACACTTGCTGCTCCAAAGTCACAGATCAGAATACAGAGCTTAACAGGATCTATTCTCTAGCATTAAAGAAAGCTTCCAGAAGTGTAAAATTATTTGTCTCATCAAGAAATTTGTACTCACTGATCAAAATATATCTGATTGCAAGCTTACTTCTTCCTCCTCCCATGTTTATGTATTCCAAAACCCTTTAACCTGTTTTCAAATCCATAGCTAAAAGTAATAGTATATCATAGTTGTAAAAAGTTTGGTTTCATATTAATTCAAATCAACTTTACATGGCTTCCTATGGAATAATAAAGACCTTATAAGATTACAAGTGGAGCATCATCCCATCCATAAATGAGGAGATTGGCATCAACAAAGCATATGTCAGTTATAACTCAAGATTCCTCAATCAGAGGCTTATTGAACACAAAGGAACATTAAAAGAGGAGATATGCTTATAGTTCTGTCTTCCTATGCACAACTTCTTGGCACAGAGGAGATTGGCAGATGCCAAATTCATCTGAACCATCTCTCTCCCCTTCCACATTAGCTTTGTCTAGAGCAGTTGTGCCCAACTCTATAATGAAAGGAGGTGCAAAATATAAAAAAAAAGGGCATCATACACTGCAAGAAGCTTCAAACTATGATTCAGTGTCAGATCATCACTCCCACAAGTTGGCACTGGTTGAAATCAAACTAACTTGACCTTGAAAACAAGGAACATTCCTTGTTTTTAAGGCCAAGTTTTGGTCAACATATGACAAAGTTGCTTGGAACAATGGACAAATATCATTCATTACAGTCGACCCCCCCATAATTACTTTTTCAAAATTTTGAAAAAGAAATTTTCAAAATTTTGAAAAAGAAATTTTTTTAACATAAAAAAAATGTTAAAAAAATATTTCTCAACTTCTTGATCTAGGCTACAATTTGAGTTTACATCAAATAAAATATGATTAAGAAATATTTCTTCAAAAAATTAAAATTATCTATATAATTAAGTACACCAATCCCAGTAAATAATTTAATGGAAATCTGACAATTATTTTCAATCTTACACAAGATTTGCTTCAGGTCAACAATGTCATAAATTGGAATGAAGAGAACAAATTTTTATAGTAAAATATAATGATATAAAATATAAAATTGAATAAACAAAGATTATGTTGCCTATCTTCATTGCATTAATTAACATGTACAAAATTAAAACAATATCTCTACATAATAGAAAGTTTATTTAAAACCTTACATAATAGCCAGATTTATTTCCTAAACTATGAATTCTCTATTTATTATTAATTTTGCATATTTTTTCAAAGATTCTAATACAATATAAAATATCATAATTAGGAATTTTATATAAACATTATATATTGTAAAAAAACTGTTTAAATTGTAATTTAAATATATATGCAACAAATTTAGCCTATTTAACTGAACTAATTAAGGCACCTTTGACAATGGGATTTTTAGAAGAACAGTAATGTTTTCAACTCATCGTCCTCAGGCATCAAAAGTGGAGTTGTGTTGGAAGTAAAGATGACTCCAATGAAGTAAACAAACAGGTGAGATTGACTATGATGGTAGCAGTTGATATGAAAGAGTGAGGAGATACTGCCAGGCAGGGAGAAGTGAGTCCTTGTCTCTGCTGTTTATGCATGTGTTGATAATGGAATTGTTATAAATTTCATAACTCTTTACTAGGGGCACCTATACATTGGGGAACTTGGGACACAAGCCCCCTTTTCTCTATATTGTCCTTTTCCTAATCCCCACAAGAAGGCTCCAAATTCCATTATCAACAAACAACAGAAAATTTGTGACTTCAAGCCTATTCCACAAATATAAAAGAAACTACAGTCGACCCCCCTATAAGATATAGATACGTTCCAATTTATTAGGAATCCGATTTCTTACAAGTCGTTCCAATCACAGCCCGACACNTAAAGTTAACCATTTGAAGAAATATTTCTTAATCATATTTTATTTGATGTAAACTCAAATTGTAGCCTAGATCAAGAAGTTGAGAAATATTTTTTTAACATTTTTTTTATGTTAAAAAAATTTCTTTTTCAAAATTTTGAAAATTTCTTTTTCAAAATTTTGAAAAAGTAATTATAGGGGGGTCGACTGTAATGAATGATATTTGTCCATTGTTCCAAGCAACTTTGTCATATGTTGACCAAAACTTGGCCTTAAAAACAAGGAATGTTCCTTGTTTTCAAGGTCAAGTTAGTTTGATTTCAACCAGTGCCAACTTGTGGGAGTGATGATCTGACACTGAATCATAGTTTGAAGCTTCTTGCAGTTTCAAAATTTTGAAATTTCTTTTTCAAAATTTTTTGAAAAAATGAAATTTTTTCAAAAATTTCATTTTTTCAAAAAATATTTAACATTTTTTTACTTTTGTAAAAACACTTGTAAGGCTTGCTTTTGCATAATTTCACTGTAACTATAGTTTCTTTTGCAACTAATATAATGAAGCAATTTGATTGAGCTAACTGAATTATTTTGACTTACCAATTTATTTTGTATTTTGAGAAGCCAAAGAATAGATTCTTGTCCATACTTTGTTTTATGTACAAGTGTACCTCTTCAGTTAAAAATCTAGCAGACTTCAGATTTTTGTAATAGCAATAAATTTGGATTTTTATTATATTTAAAGATATTGGATTACCTTACAACATGTTTTTTCTAAATTTTAATAATAATAATTTTTCCTAAATTATTCTTGTCATAAATAATCATATAAACCAAAATGGAATATATTAAGTAAACAACTAAAAATTTTTGACAAAATGATGAAATATTTTTAAAATGTTTAAAATTAAACCTAATGAGAACTAATTTTCTGTGTTTTAATGCTTGAATATCAATATATTAATGCAACCAATGCCCATATTAGTTTCTAATAAAGTTGTAAATATTTTGATTTAATTTATAGATTCTGATGATGATTAAAATTTTCTTTTTAAATTTTTAAAAACTATTATTATAAAATTGATTTTGTTATAAGGTTATATTTGTCTTTTATCTGAAGAAATATTATTTTCTTGTGATAGAATTTTGAAATTAATAATGGTACATTCAAATTATTTTTACTAATTACAAAATCAGTTTTATAAATGTAAAAAACAAGATTAACATTTATAAAACTGACAAGAAAAATAAATTATTTAAAGTTTTGTGAGAGAAATTTGTTCAAATATTTTAAAATTATTATTATTTTTTTATTCAAATATTTTTATATATAAAATGGAAGAATTTTTAATTATAAAAATTTTATATTAATTGATTAGGTTATAATGCTATTCAACTAATGGCTATCATGGAACATGCTTACTATGGATCATTTGGTTACCAGGTTACAAACTTCTTTGCTGCTTCCAGGTGATTTTGAGTTAAATTGAACAAATTTTTAAAATCAGTTTTATGCATAGTTTATACATATGTATATACAAAAAAAACTCTTAAATGAATAAAATGTTTAAAATAATGGCATAATCTAAAATTGGGTATCAATGTTGCTAGGTGAATGAGATTAAAATAATGTCCTTTTTAAAAATTCTTTACAGTTTATTCAAAATATTCAGTTAAATTTATTGTGTGTGTGTGTGTGTATATATATATATATATATATATATATANTTGAAATATTTAATACAAATAATGAAGTAACCAATGTATGTTAACCAGTTGTATGAATAGGCAATCAGTTAATATTATATAATTAATATTAACTGATTGCCTAAGTTAATATATTATATAAAAACTTTAAATCAGCTTAATGTAGATATTATTACTTAATATGCTTTTTTTTACATAAATTATTAGGTTGGTCAATAAGTCTGTGTAGTTTTTTAATGTATAAATGAAAGACAATTTTTTCAGTGAAAGCAGTAACTTTATTCAATAATGTAAAGGTCATTTTGATCTACAATCTATAGCTATCTTTTTGGCAGCTCCATAATTCCTTGCTTAAAGAATTTCCTGTTTTTCATGACAAAAAACTGTTCCAAGTACTGTTTGATGCCATCCTTGGAAATAAAGCATTGTCCATTTAAAGAATTCTGGAGCCTGAAACAGATAGTACTATCTGGTGACAATAGTAAAGCATAAAGACACAACCACAGTACTACACCACTTAATGCTTACTGAGAAATTGTTTATTTAAGTAATACACTAATGCTATATTGTAAAATATAAGTTTAAATGTATAACATTTGAAAATTCTGTTCTTTAAAAGTTCCATTTTCTAATAGTTTGTTCTGGATTCCATGCATGAAAATGGCCTATGAAATAGATTGAAAATGTTAGTATATTAGGTGATTAAACAGTTTCTCAGCAAGCATTAAGTACTGTGATATGAAATAATTTATTAATCCTATTTAAAAAATTAATTTGTAATTTTTCATATTAAAAAAAATTTTTTTTATGTTTAGTAAAAAAAAGTTTAATAATAATGGATTTTAAAATATACATGTATATTTGTTTAGTTATGCTTATGCTTGCTTGCTTTTAGATATGAGTGTAGTTATATTTCTCTATTAAATCCAACAATGACATGTCTTCATATTGGCGGAATTAAATAATTTTTAATAGATTTTGCAAAGCTACAAAGTTAGCTTTAGACAATAATAATAAAGTATCTATATACTTCTATTATTTTCTAAAATTTTAGTCGCTATGGAACTCCTGATGAACTCAAACATTTAATTGATGTAGCACATTCCCATGGCATATTTGTATTACTTGATGTTGTTCATAGTCATGCAAGTAAAAATGTATATGATGGACTCAATGAATTTGATGGCACAAAAGGTTGTTTCTTTCATGATGGTCCACGTGGTGAACATACTCTTTGGGACAGCCGACTCTTTGACTACACACAGTATGTTTCCTTCTTTTAAACTATATTAATATAATTATAAAAATAAATATATTTATAAAGTTAGATACCAACCAATGCTGAATTCTATCAGACTAGACATGGCTATATTACTGGTGCCTCTCTCTAGTGCCAAATTTAATAATTATAATTTTTAATTAATTTAAATAATTTAAAACTACTTTATTTAGTAATATAGCCATGTCTAGCCCGATAGAATTCGGCATTGGTATCTAGCTTTGTAGTATAATGGGTTTAACGATGTTTTTTGTTTATAAATATATTTATAAAATACAGGATTGTAATATTGATATTAGTTATCTTGTTTTCATTATTATGATGATGATAATTATGCAGAAATATTTATTTAAAACTGTCTAATGCAGTTAATGAATAAAGAACAATTATCACATAATTTTATTTATATAATTGCAGAACTCATTTGAAAACAAAGGTGTAATTATTTTTATTTTACGTATTTCCTATTAATATTGAGTAACATTTGAAAGGAATGTTAAACAAGAATACTTTATTTACTAAAATAATTATGACTATTCATATCTAAATTTACTTTCCAATAATAATTTCATTATAATGCAAAACTTTTTCAAACTGTAAATCATTTATTTGTACAAAGAACACATTTAGTACATTCTAGTATAGTGACATTCAATTAACCTGGCATCTGGTATGCAGGCAAACCCAATAAGCCAGAATGTCAAGTTTATGGTTATTGGTGGACTGGGTAGATCAGAAGTTAAGACTTTCATGTAAAATCGTTCAAAATGTGCAGTTCTTAGAAAGGGATGTGGGTTAGAGATGACAAATTCCAAGACAACATGATGCTGTTCTAGGTAAAACCAGTTACTTTCTGCGTGATTTTTCTAAAGACTTTCCCAAAAACATTAGTGCATAGGTTTGATGTGAGAAGCAGAAATATTTAGTGCACTTGGAATCAGTAATTATCATGGAAATAGCTACATTGAAAAAGTGACAAATAAGAGAGTGATTCTGTATCAGTTGACACTGTTTTGCAAATGAAGAGAGAAACATTGAAATATTTAATACAAATAATGAAGTAACCAATGTATGTTAACCAGTTGTATGAATAGGCAATCAGTTAATATTATATAATTAATATTAACTGATTGCCTAAGTTAATATATTATATAAAAACTTTAAATCAGCTTAATGTAGATATTATTACTTAATATGCTTTTTTTTACATAAATTATTAGGTTGGTCAATAAGTCTGTGTAGTTTTTTAATGTATAAATGAAAGACAATTTTTTCAGTGAAAGCAGTAACTTTATTCAATAATGTAAAGGTCATTTTGATCTACAATCTATAGCTATCTTTTTGGCAGCTCCATAATTCCTTGCTTAAAGAATTTCCTGTTTTTCATGACAAAAAACTGTTCCAAGTACTGTTTGATGCCATCCTTGGAAATAAAGCATTGTCCATTTAAAGAATTCTGGAGCCTGAAACAGATAGTACTATCTGGTGACTATGGAGGATGTGGCAAGACCTCCCAGCCCAGCTCCAATAATTTTTGCCATGTTTGGAAAAATAATTTGAGGTCTGGCATTGTCATAATGGAAGACAACACCCTTCCAGTTTAACAATTCTGAACATTTCAAGTTACATAGCTGCATTTAATTTGTCCAGTTGGCCAAAGTACACATCCAAATTGATTGTTCTGTTTTTGGAAGCAGCTCATAGAACATAACACCCTTCTAGTCTTACCAAATTGATAGCATGAGCTTGTCTGTGTGAAGTCCTGCCTTTGAAGTTGATTTTTGGAGGCTTTCCACACAGTCACCATGACTGACTGTGCTCAATATTGTTGTATGTGATCCATTTTTCATTGCCCGTTATTGTCTGCTACAGAAATGGTTCTTTTTCTTCATATTTTGTTAGTGAATTGTATTCTAGGAGATTTCCTTCAGTCATGTAGAACCCAAACATTGAGTCTGCTAATGTAGCCAAGTTGATGCAAATAGTTTTCCACACTTGATTTCAATATTTAAAGAATGCCTGCAATCTCTTCTATTGTGTAGTATGGATTGATGTCAATTAGCTCCTTTGCTTTATTGGTATTAATCTCTTGTGGCTGGCTTGAGTTTGGTATGTCTTGGACAAAAAAAAATCTCCAGAATGAATTCTCACAAACCGTTTCTGGCACTCGCATTCTTTCAAGGCATCCTTGTTGTACATAGCTCATATCTTTTTACAAATTTTTTCTGTTAAAATAAAAAAACATATAATATACCAAAAATTCTCATTTTTATTCATCTTTCAATCGACATTGAACACAATTTAAAACTAATGGTCTGGAAATCAATTATTTTAATAATAGTAAGTTCATTGCTTGTTCCCCTCCCTTTTGGTTTTTAATATACTTAACAATATTTTATTATTAATAGTGGAACTGTCTACAGAATTCGGAAAACATGGAAGAAAATAAGAATTTACTGGTCCCAAATAATGTGATATATTACATTATTATATAAATAAAATTTGATGCTCGATAGTTTGTTTTAGTATATGGGTTGTATTAATAATTGTAAATACAGTGCACAGTATGTATCAAAAATTCCTTTGTATTGGTTAACTGTTAGTGTTATAATTATATGTGTGGTGCTATGTGTTTTTAAGCTGATGAGGGGTCCTTGTACCCGAAATGCATCCTTACCTAAGTTTGAAAGTGATTATTAAAGACTAACTTTTTTGTAAAAGATCTGGTCTTTCTTTGTGATAAGCCCTCCAAATTGTTAAATCCTATTTATTAGGCTATTTAACTCTATCTAAATTAAAGTTGTGGGTTAAAAGCATCGTTTGTTATTATCCCTATTTTACTTTGCATTGGTTGATGTGAAATATAATTTATCTTGTTCATTGCTAAAAACAGTACCAATTTGTAAGGAATGAAGATAAACATGTTTTCCTATTAAATAAATGTTCTAAAATAAAGTATTTTCTTCTAACAATATTCAAAGTGCATTCAAGAGAAAATATGAATGAATTTTTTTTAACTTAAGAATAGAGAATACATTTTCAGTTTTTTTTAAGATTATCTTAGAATAACTTTTATAATCTATATATATAAAAATGAATGTATGTCTGTCTGTCTGTCTGTGTGTGTGTCTGTATGTCCTTCATGCATTACCACACCGTTTATCCAATTGCCATGAAACTTTGGGAAGTTTTTTAATACACTCCCGCAAAGGTTTCTGGCATAGTACATTTATCCTACGATAGATGGCGCATCTTTATACGAGCATTTGAGCACTGTGTGTTCGATCGATTTCAAATTGTAAAGTCCATTTCCCCCTTCAAAAAATATCTCTATATATGCATTTGTGAACTGTTTTTTATGATATTTGTAATAATTTTTATTTAATCACTTTATTTCAACTTTTTTTTTTGCTAATTATGTATTCGCTCAAACTTTGTTAAAACCTTAACTGTACTCCGAACAACAACCGAAGTTGTAGGAAGAAATTTGCATATTTTACCGATCTAGGTATCCCCCTTTTCCAAATTTTAATATCAACTCAAAATAATTTAAAAAGACAAATTACAATAAAACAGTTTATTATCCAACTATCAGAAATTTCACAACGTGCCAAGGAAGAGAGGAAGGAGCAATTACAGTAAATAATTAAAATTATAAAGGATTAAAAAATATATATATATAAATGGGGAATATCGCACTTCTGACAATCTCTGCAAGTGTATGGGCTAAATTTGGAGAATCCGTGCTTCTCGCATGGATGTGGCCGGCTCACGCGTCGGAAAACCTGATTTATTCATGTACGTACCAGATGGAAAAACAAAAAATATCGTGTATCCACAAACACTCCAATAAATAAATAGAATTGAAACGACACTTTGAAATGTTTTCCCAATGAAAATGGATAATAATAATAAGTTTCAATAATTATTAATTTTATTTTATGGTCATTTACTGGTGTGTGTATAAATTTACTAAATTTACACCAATTTTAGATCACAAATTATTACTATTACTATATGTCTAACAATTTTTTGACATATTTTAATTTTAATCATTTTAATTACAACAATTACTTTCAGATGGGAAGTATTGAGATTTTTAATTTCTAATTTATCTTGGTGGTATAAAGAATATCATTTTGATGGATTTCGATTTGATGGTGTAACTTCAATGTTGTATCATTCCCATGGGCTGGGCCATGCGTTTAGTGGTGATTATAATGAATATTTTGGTTTAAATACTGATACAGAGAGTTTAGTTTATCTTATGCTTGGAAATCATCTATTACATCAACTATCACCAAATATGGTTACTATTGCTGAGGTAAGAAATGTTTTAGCAATCATAAAAGTTTTTATTTTGAAATAATCCATATTTAGAAAGAATAATAAACTCACAAAGCTTGTAAGTTAATAGTTAAATATTTAAATATTTAGATTTCTGATAGAAATAATTTGAATACATATTCATATAAACTTATTTGACTATGTATTCAAATTATTTGACAATAACACTAAAGAATAATTGTTAAAGTTAACCATTATCAATTGAAATATTGAAATGATGGGAATAAAGAGAATATCTTAATTTTGAATGTAGTTATATGAAAAAAGATGTAGTTCATATATTTTATTTTTCATTAATGTTCTTCTAAATAAAATATTTCAATTATAAGAAGAAAAATTAAAATCTAAAAATTAACTTTCATTAGGTTTACCAAACTGCTTTATATTTTACAATATTTTTCTATAATTTGTCACTATATTATGCTGAATGCCAATACTCCAATATATAATAATAAAATATATTGTATTGATGTTTTTAAAGGATGTATCAGGAATGCCAGCTTTATGTAGACCTGTTGATGAAGGAGGTACAGGATTTGATTATAGACTTGCTATGGCTATTCCAGATAAATGGATTCAGGTATTTTTCCTTTTTTTCCCTCTTATTATTTTTATTTTTGATTTGATTATTGTGAGGTATTATTAATACACCAACAAGTCAACATGAATAATTATTATATTAAACTTAAAAGCTGACAAAACAAAAACGTTAAATTGCAGCATAACTATTTTTAATTGCTAATGTTTTTGACCTTGCTCAAAGACCATTATCAGGCTACACTGTTTATAATCTTAAGAACTATGAAGTGAATTTACATAGGATATACTACACAAATTAAAAATAGAATTTTGTAGCAATTGTGAAATGCCCTTTGTTATATTTTAATATGCTCCAACAGTTTAAAAAAACTAGGTGAAGTAATAATAATTTAAACTATATAATAAAACATATGAAATATATATTATATAGGTAAAAATATAAGAAAATGGAAAATAAAAATAATGTAGTAGAAAAATATACATAAAAAAGCATGTATTGAACTATACAGTGTTTTAACATAGTTTTTAGTAACATGTATGGAATCTCATACATGGATTTTTGTGCACTAGAAATGGTGTCTTGATCATTAAAGTTTATGCCATGTTGTTCTGGCAGATAAGTATTTTAGGGTTCAAGTTGTTTCATATATTTCAATTTGGAGATGTTATTAGTTGGTTGAATCAAAGTAATATAAATCAACTTACATTTCTGGAACTTGTAAGGTCCAAAATATTAAAGAAACAACTTCTGCATCGGTGTTTGTAAAAATATCAAAAACTTTAATAAACTATTGATTGCCATGCCATTACTGGACTTTGTTGCTACAAAACAAAATATATTATACTCACACACACCTTTTGTACTGGCTCCAGCAGGTATGTTCATTGGAAAAAACAAAGTTTTTGATCACTTTCAGAGACCTTGTTAGATTATTAAATGTTTCATAAATTGAATGTGATTACTTGAACAACTTTTTCAAAAGGAATGTTCTATACATAATGTGACAATATTCAAATTCAAAAAATAAAATGTAATGAATGTAATGACAAAATATGATATAAGCTTTAGCAGTATTTTAAAATATATTACACAATAATTAGTATAAAACTCAAATGTTTAATGTACAAACTTCAATTTGATATTTATAACAATAAAATTGACTATTAGTACAACTTAACTAAAATTTTGAATAATTGTAATTTTGTAACTGAATAGAATCTAGCAGAAGAAAAACCCTTAATCATCAGTCACTTAAATTCCAGTTATGCACTACCATCAGAAGTGAAATCTAGCTTGCTGTATCAGTTTGACAGTGGTCTTTTATGTAATGTTAATTTGTGTATTGAACATGCTTATAGAAAAAAAAATGTTTTCTAGGTAGTGCTTCTATTACTATATTGTTACAAAAGTATAGTACAATCATAATTAAATCCTAAATCATTGGGATGCAATTTTGTTTATTATGCAATTGAAGTACTAACCAGGATATTGAGTATTGAGATAGCAGTTGGGGTTTAACATAATTTGACTCTTAAACTCAAAATAAATGATGATAAGTAACTAAATATAACTATAAATAAAATCTCTCTTGCTACCTCAGTCTGAATAGTTTGGATGAAAATCATATAAACGTTCTCTCATATCTGAATTTTCAGAATGTTGGGTTGAAACTATGAAGATTATTTCTAAAATATTGAAACAATTTTTTAGTTTTTAACATTTAGGTTTTAAATTTAAATTGGTTTTTATGATTAGACTTAGCTGTTATTTAAATTGCTTTTTATTTGCATCAAATATTACAATTATAATTATATTATATATTTTCATAATATACATTTTTAAACATCAATTAAAAAGAAATATCCATTGGTTTAATAGGCATGTTTTAAACCGGTTGTCAAATCATTTTTATCAAATATCAAAGTTGGTTTTAATTTATTCTTGTATTTTATTAAGACATAACCTACTTTCAAATCAATATTCTTAAACCTTGTCTACCTTAACCTAAAATTTTTTTGCTATTTATTAAATTATCATTGATAATTTTAATTAAAATCATTTATAGTTATTAAAAGAAAAGAGAGATGATGACTGGAATATTGGTGACATTGTTTTTACATTATCAAATCGTAGATGGATGGAGAAAACAATAGCATATGCTGAGTCTCATGATCAGGTAATGCATAGTTAATAATTTTATAATTGTAAAATTTTTAAATAAATTTTTTTTGAAAATTTTGCTAATTTTTTTTGCTTGCAAAATGTTTTAGGCATTAGTTGGTGATAAAACAATAGCATTTTGGCTGATGGATAAAGAAATGTACACAGAAATGACAGTGATGAAACCATTGTCTCCAATTGTTGATAGAGGGATTGCTCTACACAAAATGATTAGACTTATTACCCATGGTTTGGGAGGAGAAGGATGGCTAAATTTTATTGGTGAGTAAAATACCTTTGAAAACAATTTTTTTTTCCTAAGTTAGTTTTATTTAGCCAATAAATTTTTATGCAGTATTTTGTCTTGTTCTTTATTATTATTTTTTTTTTGCATAAAATAAATCTTGTAAAAATTACACTAAAAATAAATAAGAAAAATGTATTGTAGAAAGACAAAAATAAAGTATGGTAATACCTCAACTTATGCTACCCCGACTTACATGAACCCGGAGTTATGCGATTTTCAAATCTTGTCGATTTGTCTTTTGTTTGAGTGCCACGCAACTCTTGATTACTCACTCCCCCCCCACACTATTGTTCAGCTTAATGTTCGGACGTAATGCGCGGAATTGACATATAGCTGCAATTTATTTTGTTATTTATTTCTGTGTTATATCTATGGAGATTTGAGAGACTCTACTATGTCATCCAAATGAAGTAGAACTGATTCTTCTGCATCAAACAAGAAAAGAAAAACTTTATCTTTGGAATGTAAAGTTAACATTATTAAAGACTTCGATACAAAAAATAAATTTGTGAATTGGCAAAGAAGTTTGATCTACCAGAATCAATGTCAGAACAATTATAAAAGGTAAAGAAAAAATTCTCAAAGCTGTGAAAAATGCTCACTCTTTAAATTCAAACATCATTCATAAATGTCACAGTATTATTGCTGAGATGGAAACAATGTTAAAATTATGGTGTGATAATCAAATAAATATGAAAAATTGTATAATATAATTTGTTATACATATGTATTATCTAAGATTTTATTAAACATTTTTTTTTTCTAAATTATTGTTTTCTTTAGTCTCTGGCCCCAATTAAAAATTATTTATATGTATTTATATGCGAAATTATATTCTGACTTATGCGAATTCGACTTACGCGGTTATCGCTTGGTCCCACCTATTGCAATAGTTTGGGGTATTGTTGTATATAAAATATAGTTTCAAAAATTACTTTATCTGGAACAGTGGTAATATATATTTCTCCAACAAAACTAGTTTTATTATTTAAGTATAATTTTCATTTATAAAACAATAACTGTCTTAGAGAAAAACTTAACATATCACTTATACAGGATATTGCTTTGTTTATTTTATAAAAACAATACCTTATTTATATTTATGGTCAAATCTGAAAATTTACAAAGACTTTAAAATTGAATTTGCAGGATACAAATTTCAGGATTAAAATAAAAATATATATTTTAAAATAAATTTTGTGCAAATACTTATTCAGTGATAAATGGGAAATTATTTTTGATATGGAAATATAGTTTGAAGATGATAAAAGCTATTTTATATAAACTGAAATCATTATGACGACAAACTACCAGCGATGCACCCTGCCTAGAGGTTCTATCCGGCTTGCTGCAGATTTTAAAACAGTAGTATAGAAATTTTCAATTTCCATGTTTTAAAAAAGTTCATTTAAGGACATGTTCCATTTTTGCATATGCAAAAATTTCCATAAGCAAAATATAATTGTGAGAATTTATATAGAAATTGACCATTAATTGGATTTTATAATAAATTGTATTGGCCCGCCAAAATTTTATCTTTTGTTTTTTTGGCCCACACCGAAAAAAGTTTGCCCATCACTGATATATAGTATCTGTTTATTTAATAATATTAACCAAATAATAATATATACTTGTTTTGATTTAAGAAATTTACAAATAAATAAATTTCCCTCCTCTTTATAGGTAATGAATTTGGTCATCCTGAGTGGTTAGATTTTCCAAGAGAAGGAAACAATGAAAGTTATTATTATGCAAGACGCCAATGGAATTTGGCTGATGATGATTTATTAAGATATAAACATTTAAATAATTTTGATCGAGCTTTAAATTTGACTGAAGAAAAATATAAATGGCTTTCTGCAGACCCAGTATGTTTATTTGAATTTCTTTACTACATGTATTAATAATAATGAAAATATATTTTCTTTTTTTTCCTACATGGCAAATTTTTGAAATTACTAACATATTCTATATAATTTTAATTATCCTCTCTAAAGAACTGTTGTTTGTTTTATATTTTGTAATGTAACATTTTTTAAAGTAATATTTGGCCATTTACTTTTTTACATTCTATGAATTATTAGGAGTAAATTATTATTAATTATTGAATATGGAGAGAAATAAATTTGAATGGAAATAACATTTAACAGAAGTTATAATGTCATACTGAAATAAATCTGGCTTAATCTGATAAATTATTGGATTCAGAATTTAAAGAGGAATCAGAATATGTAAAAATATTTAAGTTAATTCATTTGAAGTAAAAAAGTTGATGTTATTTCTGAATACTGGAAATGTGAATTATTACTATTATTATTATTATTATTTGTCTATTTTTATATAAAGATATGTCAAAATTAAAATAATAATAATAAGTAAATTATAATAGTGCTATAATAATAGCACTATTTATTTATTATTTCTTTACTTTTTTGTTATGTATTGTACCTAAATTTACTTATTAAATAAATTTTTTACATTAATTGAAAACCAGTAGAAAACTTGTTATAGCCATTATTTTTCATGTTATTGATCAATGAGACAACCATCATTTGGTTCTCTAGAACCACATTGATCAATAATTTTTCAATGAGCATTGATAAAAATAAATCAAGTATCTTGTTATGTAAAACAAGAAATAAATTGTTTGCTACATGAATGCATTCTGAAGATCTACTAATTACAATCTGAACTAATCAGATAAATATAAGCAATTCTGCAGTTGTATTGTTTTTGCAACTATAATCACATTCATCCTTAAAAGGCTTAAGTAAATACAATTTCAAAATCTGTTATAAAAGTATCAAAGTTAAAATAACTGGAGTTAGATAGTAATAAATAGTAATTACAATCATATATATCATTGTGCTAATTTAGGAACATTTGATAAAATAAATAAAAAAATTATAACAAGTAAAGGCATCATGATCAATATAAAATTTAATGTACTTTATTTTTAAGGGTTATGTTAGTTGGAAACATGAAGATGATAAGGTTGTTGTATTTGAAAGAGCAGGAGTAATATTTGCTCTTAATTTTCATCCATCAAAAAGTTTTCCTGATTATAAGATTGGTGTCGAAGAACCAGGAAAGTATCCTTGTAACAATCAAATTTTCTAGTAATATTTATTTAAATCATTTAAAACTTTCTTAACTTTTTATTAAAAAGAGATCAACAAAATGTACATAAAAATTGTTGCTAAACTCTGTTTCTTTTAGGAAATCAAAATATCTTTTTAAAGCTTTTTTGAAACTTTAGCTTCCCTCTTCAAAACTTTCACTGAATTAAAACTAGTAAAACATGCTAAACTTTTAAATCTTGCCTCCTATAGTGATGAAAAATCATTTGAATGCATTCATATCTTTTTTGATGCATTTGAATGATTTATATATTCAAATTCATTGTAGAAGATGAAGTTTAACTGTTTTTATTTTTAAATTCAGTGAAAGTTTAAAAAAAATCTTCTGTTTCTATTTTCACAAAATTTTTGGAAGATTTAAAAAACATTTTGATCTCCCAAAAGAAGCTGGGTTATAAACAATGTTTTATTATTACTTACAAAATATGGCTGACTAAAATATTTCCAATGTCATGCATTGAAAATATATTAGTTGGCTATTTTATTAAATCAGTATTGTAAAATTATTGCTTTTGTTAGTTACTATAATTATCTAACATTTTACTAGGCTACTGCTTTTGGATTTATATGAAAATCTGTGTCAATCTAAATATAACTCTCCATCATCATCATCATCATGTTTAATGCCATTTCTATCACAAAATATTTAAATGACCTTATAATCTCTAAATTCGGGTTTACAACTGTTTTATCAAAATTTTTCATTTACAAATTTTATTACTGAGATAAGAGAAGATTAGATCAATTTCAGAAATATTAAAATTGTTATTGTATAGCTGATGACATCTAAATTCATAATAAAAATTCTTTATCATTTTAAATAAATAAAGATAACAAAAATTTTACAATAGAGGTGCTAAAAATCATGAAATAAATTAATGAATTGATTGTGTTTATGGAATACAATTTGAACTTAATCACAAATTTTGATCATCTTTGCATTATTCCATCTTAATTTTATTCAATTAAAATTGAGATATAAAATATCAATCTACAAATTTTATATAATAGAATTACAATATGAATAACATAAGCATGTAAATAAACTTACATCATATGCCTTCTCTATTGGAAAAAAGACTGTCTGAAAAATTATGATTTTTTTCTACTTTGGAATTTGAAAAACTTATCCTCAAACACAATCTTTTGATTGGATTACATAATAAAAAATTAACTAAAATAAATATTTCCTATAATTTATGTTACATTCAATGCAAAAAAACATCTTGCAAGAGTTTTTTTTGTTTGGATGTTTGAATTTCTGCATTCAATAAAAAAAAGGTCAAACATTTTTTTGCTAAGTCCAAGGTGTCTTTTTATCCTGTGACAAAGTTTTTGGACTAAACTTTTTTCCTTTTAAGAATAAAAAGAAATCTGGATATACTGGAATTACTTGGCTGCATTTACTCTAAAAGAGGAATACCAAGTTAGTTGTGGTCCATCATTCTGGAAAAACAAAGGATTACAGATTTGCAGTTAGGATACTTGTTTTTAGACAAGTATCCTAACTGCAATATCCCTATTTCATGGCTTTGCTACAGATCTCATGTCTGGAATTTTTTTATGAGAATAAATAAAGGAAAGGATGTATGCAATGACAATTATTGACATTGTGGTGTTAAAGCATTGGATAGCAGAGGCAATTGTTTCAGTTTCCCAAGATGCAATGCAAAACACTTTAGAAGAAATCAGCTATAGATTGAATATTGTATATGCTACTAAAGGTAGCTTTGTTAAAGTTTATTAAATTAGTTTATGACTTTATAATGGAAAACTTTGAGTTACTGTATTTGCTGAAAAAACTAACGTGTGTTATCTGTTGTGTTTGTTTTGTTTTAAATATGTTAATGTAATCAATAAATCGTAGGCATTCTGTATTATTGTTAGAATACATACATACATACATACATACATACATACATACATACATACATACATACATACATACATATATATATATGAGATTACCAAAATAAAAAAATTAAATTTGATAATACTTAGGTAAAAGAAAACAATAAAATAAAAAATGGTATAAATATATCCATATTAATACTGTTAAAATTTTTTTTCATATAGATTATAATAATGAAATATATTTATTTCAATATGTAATGCAAATTCTAATAATGATAAAATGTTGAACACACTTTAAGCTTGTAAATAACATAAACAAACAGATTTTCTATAAATGTCATTATTGTGCTGGCAATTATTATTTTTTATCAAACAGATTTTCTGTTTATCCTTCATTATTGAGATGATTTAGAATCATTTTTGACTTTGAGAGTATTTTCAACACCAGACTAGAAAATCTTGTGTGTTGACAATTTTGTGGATTTTCTGTGAAGAGTTTTAATGGTGTTATTGTTTTAGAATTACTATATTTTTGGGATTCTTATAAAATTTTTGTTTCTTTAGCCAATTCTTATTCCCAGATCAGGAATGAGGGTTGTAGTTCATTTAGGGGACATTTTGAAATTTCTCATCTGTTCACTGTGTGCATGATTACAAACAGCTGCACCACTAGGTGTGGACTGAAAATAAGTCAATTGTTCTAGTTAGTTCTTTACACCTGTGTCAGGAACTAGTGTGTTTCCTCATAGTCAATGACTAAAATTCTTTTGCAGCCAATGCATGTAATCTTTGGAGAAAAATCCTTTTTATGTTTTTTATTTTTGAAACTTCGTATTGAAGTTATTTAAATGATGGCTGGCTATTTACTTTCTACTAGTGCAAATGAAAGTGCTTATTTATAAATACATGTAAAAATATTTACTTTATTTCATATTAAAATCAAATGAGATGGGGATACCCTAGTCCTCCTTTTTTCTAAATCAGTCATAAAAATAAGAAAATAATAGACTCCCTGTTGTGATAAATGGAGGGTGTGACAGTGGAGTAAAGTGAAAAAGCAACTGCTTGATTTGAACACAGAGTTTAATCTAAACTGTATATACTAAACATACCAAAAACGAAGGGGGATGAGGTATGAATTACAAGAATGTAGTTATATAAACACAAGTCTAGATATCATCTGGAATGTCCCTAGGAGAGTGTCATGATACTCACCAACACTCCCAACTAATTATTTTGATAGTCAAAATTCATCTAATCAAATTTTTGAACATTGGTAAATCAATTAAATACATTTACTGTAAAATTTATAACAAAAGTAAAAGATTATCCTTTAATATTAGTTAGATAACAGCTGCTAGATCTGTAAACAAAGTACAAATTTGGAAAGATCCAACCTATGTATATATAAGATAATTGAAATGATCTTAAGTGTAGTCTTTAATGTTTTAATATGTTGTTTATATGAATAATATGTATTATTTTAATATAAAAATGTGTTAGATTTCATATTTATTATAAAAATGTTTTTATTTTCATATATACCAGATGGGAATCTATATTTTCTTCATTACACCATCATCTTTACACACTTTCACATTTTAATTTGAATTTACAAAAATTGTAGTGTGTGTATTTAAATCATTAGAGTTCAATATTATTATTTGTTGTGAATTTATCATTTAACTTATTTTAGTTTACAAGTAATCATCAACTTCATCTCCATCAACAAAAAGATAAATGCTACAAAGCATTTATTTAAATTACTTTCAACAGAATTTAATTAATGGTGTACCTTATTGTTGGAAAGATGATGATTTGTTAGAAATCATCATCTTTCAACTCTTAGAAATGAAGAAATAACAAATTCTTAAAAACATTGAAAATAATAATCCACTTTAGATGAATTTTTCTTAAATATTTGATTAGATATAAAGTAGTACTTGATTCAGATGCCGAAGAATTTGGAGGACACAAACGACTGAATCCAGGATCGGAACATTTCACATTCCCCGAACCTTATGCTGGTAGAAGAAATTCTATGATGGTAAGATTTAAAATGATCCAATAGATTTCCCAATCATTTGTTATTTATTATTCCTTTAATGTTAAACTTTTTTCCTCAGGTTTATATACCCAGTAGAGTTGGTTTAATTTTTGCCAGATTTTAACAAGCTGAAATAATATACAATTTGTTATAAAGAGCCAAGAAAAATTTCTTACCATAGATAAATGTTAGATATATAAGTTGATAATTATGCTTTCTACTAATTTAGAATTTATAGAGCACAATTTTAAATTTTTATAGACTTTATTTTGGCTGCAAATTTTTATTCAATTGTTATGAATTTTCATATTTTCTGTTTGTTTATTTTTATTTTGTTGGTTAGTTGTATTAAGAAAAACAAATTATATCAATATTGTGATCATTGTATAAATTTTAAAAATAGAAATTAAAAAGTTATTTTTGCAATAAATTTAATTTTTTTGTGAGATAGTTTTAGAAATATTTTCTAAATAAGTTTTTTGTTTTATCTTTCTTGTAAAATCAATGATTTTGATAGAGTTGAATGTCTAGATCACAGGTTCTCAAACTTATTTCGACCACTGTCCACTTTGAGATTAAAAAAAATCTAGTGCCCCCATATTTTTTAACTTACGCAACAGATGGTAATGTAAAAAGGTATCTTAAAAACAGTTATTGCAAATACAATGTTTAAACATGCAATATTATATGGATAAACTAGCCTTGAACACTGCAATGTCACAATAACATTAAGAACAGATTACAATTTTAACACTTAGAGAGAATGTAAATATCAGCTTACTATGATATAATAATACAGATTACACATAAATGGGAATACATATAAATGGGAATTTTTTTTTTTTAATCTAGAATTTAAAACTAAACTAATACTAGACAACTAAACTATGTACAGAAGAATTCTACACGGCCAATCAATCAATCGCTGATAACATCACTTTTCCGATTTTTCACTGTCTTCCTGCTCATCTTGTCTGTTCTTGTTTTCATTCTCAAGAATTTTTTCTTTCCTGTAGAAGTCTGGCAGAAGAGCCCTGGTGCTTTCAATAAACCTTTCAAAACACTTCCAGAGATTTTTCTTATCAAAAATGTTTTGTAGTGTCGGTGGCCAATTATGACCTTGAATGCATTCCATGTAGAATGGAATACGTTGATCCTCATATCGTTCACAGTGGAATATAAAATGAATGGCATCTCCTACACTATTATTGTCGCACCGGCATTTATTAGTGTTTCTCTTCTTAAAGCGGTAGAGGTAGGCCATAAAATTGCCGTGCCCCGTTAAACATTGGGTGGTTTCGGATCTAGGTTTGTAGTAATTAGCCTTGATGCGATTAGTAATAGAGGGAATAAACTGGTGGCAAAGTCTCCCCGTTGTAGAATTATTCCAATTTTCCTGCCATTCAAGTAGTGCCCATTCGTTTAAGGAATTTTTCAGTGTTGATTTTGGTAACCTGGTATATGTATCCTGCGTCTTGAGAGTACCAGCCATTTTGGCCAAAGAATCGGCCAGTTCGTTTCCTTTATGACCTTTATGAGCTGGTATCCAACTGAATTGAATATTGCGGGTAGTACTGAGATATTGTGCTACTTTAATAACTTCTTTGCCCAGTAGCGTGATGTTTTCAGTTTTTGCCAAGACATGAAGGACTACCTTACTGTCAATAAGGAATTTTATGTTACCCTTGTATTTATTTAAGTTATCTTTTATTTGGATGATTGCTTTGTACGTGGCCCATAGTTCAGCTTGCGTAATTCTACAATGTTTAGCAAGTTTTAATCTAGCCTGATATATTGTCTTATTGCAGAACCCTTCCTTCAACCCCTTTTTCACTCCTTTCTCTTCGTAGTGGGCTAAGTTTGCAAAAGCAGACAGCCCTTCCTCCTCCTTTATTATTATTATTATTATTATTATTAATATTATATGGATAGGATAGATACCGGTAGAAATAGGATATGGGTCACACCCTGAGATCAAAGAATGTTTAAATATGAGTTTTATTTCTTCTCATCGAATCACTGAACCTTCTATTGAAAGCCTCCAGTGCCGACTTTGAGAAAGGATGGTCTAGATCAGGGGTGTCCAACCCGCGGTCCGTGGGCCGCATGCGGCCCAATAAACGTGTAAACAAAACCAAAAAATTTTATTTATTTATTTTTTTTTTATTTATTTCAACGGCATAAACTCAAAAAAGAAGTTTCACAAACTTTATACATATTCTATTTTTCAGTGGAAAGGAAATATTTTCAAATACTTGGAAATGTGTGAATGAGGAAGAAATACTAAATAAAGCTGGAATTGTGACTCAAAGATTATAGTCCCAAATTCGGGGAAAGAAGAGAAAATCCGAAAGATGAAAAGTAGTGAGAAAGGTTAAATAAACCTTCTGTTATGTAAATATTGACCTTTAATTTTCCAACCTTCCTCATTTATTTATCTTTTGTCCTTTGTCCCGCATTTGGGTCTATAATCCTTGAGTCCCAACTCCAGCATTATTTAGTATTCCTTCCAACGTTGCAACATTTGGCTATATTGCGCCAAATGTGGCTACGTTTTCTTTTGTTTGACAGAAAAACTATCATTTGGCTCTTTAGCTACTTTTTACATATTATTATATTATTCATAAATACAGGATGTTTTTTTTTAAACTGATGATACTCAGAGACATCTGTAGAGCAATCTAACAGCCGGACTGCTGCCAAATTTGAGAGAGTGACTAAGGACAACATGGGAAAGAGATTTCAAAAAGAAATCTCTTTCCCATCATTCGCCGGTAGGGGTGGATTTGGCGCTGTTGTAGCAAAACAGCTAAGAATTTGCTTAACGCGCTGGTAACACCTCAAAATCCGAATTCACAATGACGTGGTCGACAGCAGTACCACCTAATTTGAGCTTAATAGGCAAGCACAAAAGTCCGAAGTGCATTCCGGACTTCAGCAGAGTTCAACATGAATCTTTCCTTACCTCAGCGTGCGTTGCTTGTGAATCTTTATTATCTTAACTAATCGAGCGCACCGGGCGCTCTTCGTGAGTTTAGAACCC